TTAAAAATAGACGGTTTTTAGTAAACGACAACACAAAATAAAAATAGAACATTTCCCAAAAACCCAACGCAGAACAATCGTTGCAACATTTTTACATGCATTACTAAATATAGCTCAGTTCCTCGATTATGGTTACTCCTAAAAATTTTGGATGCCATAAAGCATGTTGGGTTTTTTTTTCGCCCAAGAAGTTAGTGTATTAGCATTCGTGGTAAGCAAAGCTTTTCATGTTGAAAATCGATTTTCTTACAAAGCAATATTTTGATGCGTTGAAAGTGTTGAACTTGGTAAGGAATTAAGACAGTAGGAAAAGGCTGAGAGATTTGTTTAAGTAATGACACCTTTTAGAGAAATGTTCTAAAATATTCGCTATTAATTTATAGTTAGCGAGAAATAGTATTTTATTTTGTAGCCATCAGAAAATATCAGACATGGTTATGACGGCGATTATATAGCAGATGTTGAATTAAATGATTATATTTTATAAAAAAGTAATTGATATGCTAATTGGTTGGATAATCAAGTACTTAAATTCAATACAAACTTTTATCACAAGCTGTTAAACGGAAATTCAATGTGCAAGATAAAACCTAAAAAAAAGTTTTTATAAATTAGCAAATGATATTTGCTAATGATACCATCCTAGATGAAAAAAAAAACCTAACCAAGTGTAATGATTATAGGTGCATATTCTAAGAAATGATCAATTTGAAACTAATATGGATTTAATATGGCTTTTTCGAGATTTTTTAATCAAATAGATCTTGCTGTAGAGAGGTTGGAAACTAAAACTTCATCTTTATGCAACAATATAAAGATTAAAAAATAATGTATTAGTCAAGGATACGATGGTGCAAATCTAATAAGCAGTATTTGTAATGGTCCGCAACATAAATAAAAATCACTCAACAAAATGCAAGAGTACGCTCATTATACCAATTGTAATTCAAACCTTGTTGTATAAGATGAACCATCGTTTCACTAAGTTTTACTAAAATAGTAAGAAATTGGAATGTTGATCCAGAGTTTTATGAAAAACGACTACCCAAAGAGAAACAGCATTTTGATAAATTTGCAAACGTATCTTCAAAAAGATATGTTAATATTTTAAATATTTAATGCTGTCATAGATACTATTTTATATCTACTACATGAAAAACAAAAGCACGCAAAAATTAATATAAGTATTTCATATTTCTGATTCTTCAAATAATACTAGTTTTAAAAGAGAAAGGCATTTTTAAAAAATTAGAAAAGTATTTTATTTTTTAAAGTATAAACAATTTCCAATCATCTTTATTTGCTATTAAAAGACTAATTAACGGAGTTGGAAATTATTTCTCTAAACTTGATAATGAATATAATTGCTTAGAAACTATTATAACAACTATAATTTCTGTTTTAATTTAGTTTTTTTTATATTTCTTGAATCATATGTTTTTAAAAAAAAATGTTTAGTTAAAATTGACCGTTTTTCAAATGTAATTCAACAACAACAACTACAACAACAATAACAAAAACAACAACAACAAAAAAACATAATGATGAAATATTCAAGATAAATGTGAAATCTAAAACAAATTTATTAGGAGCAGCAAATAATTGAATCTACCGATTGAAAAAGTAAATTCAACTTCAACAATCGCCTTAGTGACGTCAAGTTGTTTGTTTACAAAATATCAGTTCTACAATCATTTGCATTTTGAAGAAATTGTGCAATGTTTGTCCGAATATCAATCCCAAAATGCAATAGTTGTGCTACTGAAAAACATCTATTTTTAAAACACTAACTTGACACTATTTAAAAATAAATTAGAACATTTTTTATTAATTTGTAACTTATTGTTTTTATGTATGGTATATATAGTGTTTTTACTGGTTAAAACTAGTTACAGTAAATAAATAATAAAAAGAATAAAGAAAAAGTAAATAATTATTGCGGCTTTCTATTTCAAAAATTTAAAGCAGAGAGGCTAAGAAAATGGATTTAAAAGATTTAAGTAGATTGATGAAAAGAAGAAAAAATAAACAGTTTTTGCAATTTTTCAATTAGGTCATAATTATATTCGCTCATAGTTTAGTAAACACAAACATAAGATTAATAATATATTTTACAAAATTTAATAAATCTTATAAATTCTTATAACCAGGGCCGCCGTCAGGCTGTCTGGGACAGCAATCCTAATAGGCGCCCTTATTTATCAAAATTTCTCTATTCCATAAACTTTTGAAACATATGGCCTATACAAACTCTATAGAATTTTAATAGAATGTCTATTAATTTCAATAGAAGATGCTATAAAACTTTTTTTTCTATAAAAAAAAAAGTAGAAAAAAAAATTTCAATAGGAATTTTTATAGAAGTTAACAGAAACCCTATAGAATTTCTATAGGCCATATGTTTCAAAAGTTTATATTGAATTCTAAAAAACTTTTTTTCTGGGATATTATAGTTAAAAGACCTTTTTTTCTTTTAAGTATCTACTTTTTATTTGACGCC